CTGCAACTTGATTCTCAAGCCGATTCATCGCTGCTAAATATGCAACGAGTAAATCGATTTTGACTTTCCAATTGGATTATTTAATATACCCAATAGATATCAACATCATCCATACAGTTCAGACACGTGATGCTATTCACTGGCTTCGATAAATACGTTCTGTCCAACTTGCCAAAGGTTTGAGGTGGTAGTTAATCCAGTTAAAAACTGATGCTCTTTCGTATAGCCTCTCTTTAGCAGTCTTAACTGCGCATTCAGTTTTTTAATTTAACTAATTGCATGACATTTTATGTCTGAATGCTTGGAGGTAACGCGTTTTTAAAGTTATCATAAAAACTGTTTAGGAAACTGACCGTCTGAAGGCTGAGGTTGATAAGAGTCGACAGGAGTTGAACGACCTTCAAAATCAGCGAGATTCTTTAAAGGAAAAGCTTATGTTGGTGCAAGGTGGAAACCAAAGTGCTACCACCGACTACATTGCAAGACTGGAGGAGAAAATGACCGAACTGAATAAACTGAAGAACAACTTGCTGTCAGAAGAAAAAATGCAGATGGAAAAACAGCCTTACCTAGCGAAACAAATTCAAATTTACAAAGACGCTGTAAAGCTTATGGAAGGCAAAATTAAAGGTTGGGAATACAAGGAGTGAGGGAAAACAGAAGAACCTGCTCGAAATCTAGTTCTTGAAATGGATAAAAGCGGTCGCTGGTGGTACTTCAAACAATGTCTCTAATTAAACGTTTGAAAATGTTTTCTGAGACGTTTCCTCATTGTTTATGATTTAAAGTCGGCTATTCTTAAACAAAGTAAACCTGATGGACTCCTTGCGCTTGTTCGAAAATAGCTATTTCATCTGTTCAGAAGTATATTGAAATAAAAATGGAAAAACGTAAACAGTATGACAGATATACAAAATTAGGTACAAAAGAACTGTATGAATTATGTTCATTCAATATCGACGATCAGCTCTGCAACTTCAGCAACGAACGTTGTTTGACTACGGCCGTGTATGACTGCGCTAACACCAACAAGCAACACAGCACCAGCGGGCCGAAAATGGCACCTTCTAATCCCCACAGCAACATGCCTCCAGCTATCGCTAAGCCGGTGAGAAAGGGTGTCGTTAATCTGCGTAAATAAATCGATTATGAATTATGAAATCTCATCCTTTTAAACCTCACTTTATCTCAGAGTAAATCGAGTCGTCGACGAAGTAAGGAACCAAGTAGTGTACGATGAACAAGAACAACGCAAGTACCGGCTCACCTAAAACTTTTTTGTTGGAAAATGGCGCATGGTAAAAAGGAAACTATGAGCAAAAATATAACCTCTAATGAGCCACAGCTCCAAAGCAGCCGGAATCGCCACAACCGTTGTTCCAAGGAATGGGATCGCTGCAAAGATAGCTGCAAAAACTAAACTTTGCCGCTTTAGCATATCACAACATTGCTCTTCCGCAAATGTTACTTGACGGAGTGAATACAAGTGTAACTGCTAGGAGGGTGTGAGTCAACCACGTGAACATTCCGTAAAACAAGGCCATTTTCAACGTTGCCAGAAATACTCCCCTAAAACATTTCCATTTGAAACAAATCACTTTCAAGTAACATTTTTCTGCAGTCCAGGTCATAACTGGTACACTAAAGAAATAAGGAAAAATTAGGAACACTGTGAACTGATATGTTCTCATCGCTTTATCAAATCATAACCCGTTCTGTATGGTTTCTCGAAAAGTTCACCTCCAAAGATTGGAAATTAAGCAAAGGAGGCTGGCCGTATTGGAAACCATTTATTCAAGCGGATTAGCTTGTCATGTGGAAGCCAAAACCCGGCAAACGTCGATTAGGATGCCCCATCCAACATGGTGGAACATGGTAGAGGCAGATCCGCTTGTGGAGAGGAACATTTTCCTCCGCGGTACGGTAGCGAACGTATCATAGCAAAAGTGCCCACCGGCCAGCTAGACGTTGGACGCTGATGGAACCTTCCTGGTCGTGCTCCGTGGGCTAATCAGCGGATCTGAACAGACGTAGCATCACTTGCTAATAGCCTTTCTTCCTGCAGATCGAACAGTTACAGACTGAAGGGCCAGCCACAAACAGAAGCAACGTTTGGAAAGGAATTACCGGTCGGAGCATATTTTTTAGCTTTTGCCTGCCTCCCCATGAGCAAAGATTGCGCTGACTAAAATGCACAGGGAATCAAATCCATGCTTGCCAAATATACAGAAGTAAATTAAGATACATAGAGTACAAGGGTATCTTTCATGATGAACAAGACACTAATGGCACCGATAAAATGAACCAAAATGAAGCAGTACTGCTGCACTTAAATACCCACCAGAAATGACCCGTTTAAACCTC